TCAATCACCAACAGTCAGGAGTACACGGCAGACACCCTACGTACGCTCCTAAACGCAGTTTTCTGCAAAGACGATGTACTGCAGGACACAGCAGAACAAGCTCTTCTCAGGACAGTAACAACCACACTGGACACCCCAACAGACCCGGATATTACAATTAATGAACTTCAAAAAGTTCTTGCAACTCTGCCGCGCAAGAAAGCCCCTGGGCCCGATGGGATGGACTATGCTATCACCAAAGCAACGATCAAAACTCACCCTAAATTCTTTGTTGACTATTTCAACAAGCTTCTGGCAGCAGGTATATTCCCAAAACCCTACAAGATAGGGCAAGTTATTTTATTTCTGAAAAAGAACCGGAACCCAGCCGAGGCCACATCCTTTCGTCCTATCTGTCTCTTATCGGCAATGGGTAAGGTACTAGAAAGGATTATCATGAACAGGCTACGGTACCATTTACACACGCAAGGATTCTTAAGCTCGAGACAATACGGGTTTAGGACGGGCACTTCTACAGTCCACGCACTCTTCGACATTAGAGAAGCAATTTTAGAGAATTGACATAGCGGCCACCATACTGCCATGATAAGCATAGATCTCAAAAACGCTTTTGATACATTATGGTGGCCGCAACTATCTACAGGATAGAAGACTACTAGCAGTTCACAACTCAGGCATAATAGAACAGGAGCAGACGAGAGGCTCTCCACAAGGGTAGTGCGCTGGTCCACACCTGTGGAATCTAACTTTCAACGAAGTTTTAACAGCTACATGGCCAGCGCACACCCAGATCTACGCCTACGCAGACGACGCAGCGCTAATAGTGAAAGGTCGAACTCGAAGAGAATTAGAGACTCACTGTAACGAAGTGTGTGCCAACAATTCTACGCCCTATGTGACAACCTTAAACTGAAAATTGCAGAGCACAAATCCAAAGTGTTATTAATACCTAAAAAGGGAGGTTCTCTTTCAAGAAGACCAACCATTAAGATCAACAATCAGAGGATACAAATAGTCAATCAAACTAAAATATCTGGGCCTTACGTTCGACCACAAGATGACCTGGATACCACACATCCAGGACATCAAAATTAGAACAGTGACAATAGCGAAGCAAATGCGATTATTTCATGGCCACAAATGGGGCCTCAATCCTCATATTCAGAAGGTCCTCTTCACCACAGTGGTGGAAAAGATAGTCACTTATGCAGCAGCAGTATGGGCTCACCCAATGCAAAGCAGGAAAATTAAACACCTTTCTACCATTCAAAGACCCTTTGCATTGGGTATCACCAGAGCCTACCGCACGACCTCTTCAGACGCGATCAACGTGCTGGCTGGCCTCCTTCCCCTACACATCCGTGTCGAAGAGGAGGCAGCAAGACAAATCGTCCTGCAGCTTAAAAGACCTGTCACCTTTGACGAAGAATATTTTAATCCAGAGGACTATGAAGCTAAATGCTGCCCTCTGAAAATCCATCCAGCAGCCAAAGGCACCGGAATAAGCATAATTACCAATCCAACTACGGCCCACCGTCCAGCACAGATTACCATCTTCACTGACGGGTCGAAGATAGACGAAAACGTGGGAAGTGCCTATGTGGTCATGCTGCAAGATACAGTCATAGATCAATGGAAGGGTCAACTAAGGCAATTTAATAGCGTTTTTCAGGGAGAAGCAGTGGCAATTGCGCAAGCAATCCGCTACCTGCAATCCCACCACTCCCGCAACGCTACAATAAAGACAGACAGTCTTTCTTCACGCTATACGCAATAGGAAACCCTGACCACCCATCCGATATTATTCAGGGAATACAGGAAGATCTGCGAAAAAAATTCCCAACTCCATACAAGACTTGAATGGATCAAAGCGCATGCCGGCCACCACGGCAATGAGTTGGCTGACCATCTAGCCAAAGAAGCTGCCACAGGAGCAACATCTCAACAAATCAACATCCCATGGCCAGTGTCTTACCTGAAAAGAACATTGCGCTTAAAGGCAATCGGGAAATGGCAGCAGACATGGGATAACAGCGATACCGGCCGACGGACTTATTACCATGTCAGCTACGTGGACACTACCAAAAATTTTGCAAACATGCAATTGGTAAGATACATTACGGGTCACGGACCATTTCCCGAGTACTTTAACAAACGCGGGATAAGTAACACTAGCCAGTGCGCCTGTGGACAGACTGGCTCTCCGGAGCATTATCTGACCTCCTGTCCCCTTACAGAAGGGCTACACATCAACCTTCCGTCGACCAATCGACAAGCTTTCTGTAAGTTTTTGATAAAACAGAGGCACTTGGTTAGAAAAATAGGGCTTTTAATGGATAATAAACTGGCCGACCTTGACACAGACCTGTGCCATACTTAGTCAGCCATATAGACGAATAGTAATTCAGTGTCTAGCACCAACTACCAACACCACAAAAATAACTGTGAATTATCGTAAGGAGTATCCAACACTCCTAGTAATATAGCAAGAATCAACTATTTAATCAATTTGCATTATGCCAACCAAAACGAATTATGTCTATTATCTGTACCGCAATATGTAAATAAGGACCATCTGTACCTGTTTATAAATGTATCTTAAGTACCATCACCATGTAGTTATGTTTTATGTATGTATATGTATAATGCACCCAATGATTCTATACTCAATGTAATTATGCGCCTTGTATTTGTATATATATGTTCTAGTATAAATGTTACTGTATTGATCATTAACTGTATTAATCATTGCTGCATTATTGTATTAATATTATTTAGCATCATCAAATTAATAGCACCAATTGAACCTTATTACGTACTTTCAAGTCTACGAGACTAAGGTACTATGTGCATTAAGATTGTGAGCCCAATGATTACTATGTGCCTAATACTATGTATATATATCCTCGTATGTATGATAATGTAACCATGCATCCGAATATAACATCACGCAACATGACACTTTACCGCATAGTGTTAATCTAAAGTCTTAATTCTAAAAAATCCATTGCATTAACTAACTTCTATAGCATTATTATTATATATATTATATATATATTTGTTTATATATTATGTATCGTCTGTATATGTACCATGTATATAATGCTTATAAATCCAATGATTACTGCGTGCCTAATAATTGTGTATACGTGTTTTAGTATGTATATAACTGAATCCATGGCTCCGCGCATATCATCCTGTAGCATGGCACTGTACCACACAGCGTTAAACTAGGATCTTACACTAAAACTAACAGCACCAATGAATTGTTCCAGCATTGTACTAATCTTATGTATTATGTACGTATATGCATAGTGCATCTAATAATTATGTATCCTATGTTAAGTTATGCACCTAAAATATTTGTATATTTTTATATATATAGTATTAACAAGTAGAAATATTACTGTATTCATGCGTCAGTATTTAACACTGTGTAACATGAAGCCGTTTCGCATAGTGTTAAACTAGAATTCTTACTATAAAATTAACTGCATTTATTACTTTTCTATAGCACTGTATTATGAACCATCTGTTTATATATGTATATGTATACCATGTACCTAATGTCTGAGAATCTAGTGATTATTATGTGCCTAAAAGTTGTGTATATGTATATTAGTATATATATTAGTTTATCCATCCAATCGCCTACAGCATCATGTTACATGTAAAAATAACAGCACCAATTACTTGCCCTAGCATTGTATTAAGAAACTAATATATGAATATGTATATGTATTATGCGCCTATTGTATATGTGCCTATGTATGTACCAATGACAATGACAATTATGCACCTTATAATTGCGTATAAATGCATTATTTTTAAAATACTATAAAATTAATTGCATCAATTATCCTCAACGACACTCTACAATGTACCATCTGCTCATGTAAATATAAATGTGCCATGTACCTATCGATTATGAAATCGAATGATATAAGTATTGTAAATAGGTAGTACAGTATAGCATTGTAAATAGGAAGCTGTACCCATGCACCCGCATACATTTCTGCGTAACGTGACATAGTAAGGCAAAATATCAACTAGTGTCCTATTATGAAATTAATAAGCACCTATTACTAGTTATAACATTATTTTATGGATCTAGAGTTTAAGTATATGAAGTAAGTACCAAATGTTTATGTCACCAATGACTATTATGTACCAAAATATAAGCGTATATACGCTTTTGTCTATATGTAATTGTGTATGTCCTTGTTTATATGTAATTGTACCCATGTATCTACTAGTGTTATCACATATCTTGGCACTGTATAGTTAATATACATCTATTACGCACTGAATAATCATGTACCTAATGTGTCTGTACACAAAATGTCTGTATATATGTATATGAATTTATGTTCTGTATATATGATAATGTAACTATGCATCTGCACATTTTATCCTGTAACACGGCACCGTATCGCAAAGAACTAACTAGAGCCCCACTCTAAAATTAATTGCACCAATTATCTGTTCAGCATTGTATTAAGTACCTATTGTTAATGTATGTTAAAGTAGCACTTACCTAACGCTTGGGTATCCACTAATTACTGTGTACCTAATACACGTGTTTTAATATCTTTGTACATTGGTTAATGTACTTAGGAAACAGTACAAATAATTCAGTAGCAAGACACTGTAACACACAGTACTAATCTAGGGTCTAACTTTTAATTCACTGTACTAATTACTTATTCCAGCATAACATTGCGCACCTAATATTTCAGTATGTACATGTCTTCTGTAATCTAATGATAATGCTTCAAAGGATCATAGTGTACTCAACATATGAGTACACACGTTATGTATATATGCTATCGTATCCATGCTTTTGCATACACCTTGTAACATGACAATGTATTATCCAGTGTTTAACATTAATTAGCTTTAACGCCACTGTATGAAGTACCAAATTTGTATGTATGTTTATATATTAGTATATTAGCACAAAGAACACGTATGTTTATCTAGATAAAGGTGGACGTGGCGCTATACCGATTAACCGTATTGGTAGAGGGGTGGTGCCCACTTCCTCCGTCGCATGTCGCATGTCTTAGGCAAATAGTCTTCTGTGCTTTACCATAATGAAATTAGCCAAACCAGCTTTAAAGAAATCGGAAAATCTTTTAGATTTGGACATCCTCAGATCCCATCTAACGGTTAATGCGAAGAAATTGAAGAGTGTGACGCAGTTATTCCAGGCGGATAAACTCCATTCAGCCTGTAGATGTGGGTGTTAATAAACCATTCAAGGGAACTTCAAAATGACAATGGAATATGTAGATGTTACATTCAAAAAGGTAGTAATTCAAAAAAGTAGAAGTGTAAAAACATTCATAAAAGGAGGCGAAATGCATCATACCAGTCTAAAAATAGTGTAAGAGTGTATAATAAAGGAATGAAATGAAATAAAACGCTGTATAATTCAAAAGCCATTTAAAAATGCAGTATGTATAACAATCTGCAGATAGAACCGAGTATGATTGCTTATTAATGGATCAGAAGAACAGTGATGGTAAAGATGAAACAGAACTCGATGACGTGCCTGAAGATATAACGGAAGTCGAATATGACGAATTTTTCAAGTTATCCAATAAAGAGAATTGCTTAAGTTCTTAAGTCATTGCTTTCAAATAAACAGCATTATGGTACATGTAGAAATATAATTGTTTATGCTCACCTTTCCTCTCACTTTAATATGCGGCGTAAACAAACACCCGTAAATTTCGATCTTATTTTTTGTATTAAAAGTACGTGTTATACGCCGGAATACACGGTAAATACCTATACTGAAATCGAAAAGCGGAAGATAAAATTACCTGCTTTTTTATAAGTTCCTTATTTAAAGAATAATATTAAATTTACGTGAAAGAAAATATTATATGCCTTATATTTTGCAAACATTATTTGAAAAATATGAGATATAAAGGTAAATGGACGTTCTTACTGTTCTTGTAAAGTTGTGCAAGAGCTTTAAATCACGTCTGAACTGTCTACCCCATTTTGTAAGTCCAAAAATCCATTCTACCCAATATTGTGGATTCACCATCCTTTCCATAACAATTTCCGATGTTCTAAAATAACAAAAATAATATTACGCAAATTTAAATATTATTTATGAGCGAACGTATTTCATATTCTATCCAAATTATGGAGTCAACTTCAACTTGTTCTGATTATTAAGATTTCTATATATTGTTATTTGCCGAACAGAAAGTTTTACAAAATGCAATATTATAAAAAATATTGGTCCTTTTCTGTTACGAAATTTGGTGTTTTGATTTCCAGTGGGTACTATTTGGCAATCGCATTTAAAATAGCATCAAACAGATTGTTTGCACAGCTTGTTAACCCTTTACGGCAACAGTGTGTCCGGTCTGGACACACCTAAAAATTTCCTTCCGTACGCACAGAAAAATTGAATGAAAAAGGATTGATAGATTACTATAGGTTACTCTGAACATTCTTTATTTATAGTAGATGGCAGCTCAACACAAACCAGTCCATATATTTTAGCCATGTTTAGTTTTTTAAGACCCTCATTTTTCAAAGAAATCTTTGTTTCTCCCATTTCATCGGTCAGTTCATTGACAACAATGTTCGTTTCAGCACTCTTTTCGAAGCTCTATCAATCAGTGTGCCACTTTGGGCACACCCACAGAATTAAAACGATAAGTGCTATCTTCAAATAAAATTTTAACTGTGTACTCCTCGTTTGTTTTAATACAAGGCCTGAATTAGGAACATGCCTGAACCGTTTTTTTTTTATAATTCAAAACTCCCGACTTTAAAAGGTAGTGGGCCATCCGGAACGGGAAAGGGTTAAACAAGAGCTGTAGAGCTTTAAAAAAGAAACGCGTTTGTTTAATAAGGAAATGTTCCAGTATTCAATCATATGTTTTAAGATTTTTGAAATGTAAGATATACAATTGTATCAATGAACCTATGTTATTATAGGAAGGGATGTGCATAGTTTGACAGAAAACAGGATGATTTATTGGGATTTAATATTCGTAAATTTTGTATAATGCTCCCCAAAGAAGAATAAATTATAATAAAAAAGTAAAATTAAAATTAAAGATTTTGGGGTTTTACATTAAATCTACTTTCTGGATAGCCCTCGTATATTGTTTCAGGATAGATTAGATTAAATGATTTCTCTAGAACTAAAGTAACAGATTTTCCTTTTGAGAGATATTAAAAATTTTTAAAACATTAATGAATGCTAATAATAAAAATACAGAATTCGCATTTTTTTGAGCTTCTGAAGATTTTGTTACTTTAAATTACCATCTGTTTGGTAAATTATAAAAACAACATCTCAATTTGCTCAACTGGGACAGAAACTAAAAAAGGAACGCACAGAAGACTAATGTATGAAATGTATAATCCTTTTCTTTTCCTGATCATACGTAACAGAAAGAAAATACGATTGAATTCATTTTAGCAACATTCATTTCAGTAAACTAATTCATTCTAACAAGATTTACACAAATTACATTTAACTGAAGCAATTGACATCTTCTTCGCCTTGCCATTTTATCGGCCTTCCAACAAAGGAGCTGGCTACCTATGGATTTTCTCTTATTTACATACTGCAAGCTAATTCCCTTTAGAAAATTCTTGCTAATTTAAAACTAAATTTTCCAAATATCTTTATTCCATTGAATTTACTAGTCCTATGCAAGTCCTAGTTTTCATATGTGAATTACGGAACCATAAAAGTCATCTGTTAGGTATCGTTAGTACACACATAGTTTAACACATTTTAAATCAAAATACAATCTAACCATGAAATGCTTAATAAAATTGGATAGAATTAAAATATTGCAGAGATGAAATAAATATTTATTTCTAAAAAATTATGTGAAAATTTTTAAAGTTTCTACTGAAAATTACTGGTTTACTGAAAATTTGAGACCTAAAATACGTCGGGAAATTACAAAATAAACTGCACATTTTTTCCTAAATTTCATTTAACTGCCGAAAGTAAACAAAACAGCGTAGTTTACCTTAGAACGCATTTCACGTATTGAGAATCACTGTTTTGTTGAGCTGATATGGAAACTCCCAGTGTAGTCTCTAAAGTAAAATACAAAACAAAAATATAGTATCTAATTAATTACGATGATTTAACTATAATATATTAATAACTAAAGCTTAGCTATAATTTTCTTTGTCTGTGTATTATGATTTCATGATACAGAAAAAAAAGTTAATTAAGGTAGGTAATTAGTTTCCATGGAAAGTTTTAATAAAGCAATGAAGAAGCTGAATTTATCTCAATTTACGAATTCAAGCACGTACACTGCAGGGAAGAGTGGAAGAAAAAAGAAAATCTGAAAGGTTTCAGGTTTATATTACGTACAAAGCGGCGTTTTTTTAACATTTTGTGCGTTACCTTTATTTATTAAATTTCATGTTCTTCGCGCTTAAACCATACAAGCTTTACAAATTATGAAATCGGTAATAAAACAAATTTCAAATTTCGGCTTACAGATGTCCAAATTCGCAGTAGGGTTACGTCATTCAAAATTCGATGGTTCTAGGTACCGTTCTTTTATCACAATGCAAAAAACATACATAGATTTATGCAGATTCATCATTATTTAATGTCTTCAAATATAATACAGAGAGAGATAATATTTGGTGGCAACAGTTTGAAAAGTTAAACGGAATTCAGAGTGATTCGACGCAAAATCGCGAAACGAAAACAATAGTTCCTCAGGCACAAAGCCATAAAATTCAGTTCAAGAGCAATACCGCAAAACAATTTTAAAATGAGTATAACTTAAGAATGCGCTGGAGATAAAAATGTTTTTTCTGTACAAAGTTGCCATTGTTCGCTTAATCCTTGAGTTTGTTAATCAAAAATTTGTTAAAGTTTAACAAAATATGAAATCGATAATAAAACAAATTCCAAATTTCAAATTTGTGCTTCCAGATGCCCATATTCGCATGAGGATTACGTTACTCAAAATTCGATGGCTCTGGTTACCGTTGTTATCTCACAATGCAAGAAACATACATACATTTATGCAGATTTTTCGTTACTATGTCTTCAAATATAATACAGAGGGCGACAATATTTGGTGGCAACAGTTTGAAAAGTGAAACAGACATTCGGAACGATTCTACACAAAATTGCAAAACGGAAACAATAGCTTCTCAGGGAGAAAGCCCTTTTGGACTAAAAAAAGGGACAGTTCTATATCTCCCGTTCTACTAGGCCGATTGACGAAATTCAAATTTTCATGTCTCGAAAGCGCGACTTAGGATATGTATTAGATTTATATATAGCATTGCTCTAATATAGGTATTTTGACACAAAATCGAACTTTTTCTGAAATGACATGCCAATTGTTTTCCATATTTCGATTCTACGACTCAATGTAATAAAACTCGCACGAGTAGTTTTTAAAAAATTAGATCTAAAAATTTTTGCTCCTCATTGTTAATTGAATTTGATGTATATTTATTAATATCTCATTTTTTATTAAACTTATTTGATTCTTTCGTTTACATTTCGAAAATTTAGGTTCATTCCAAAAAATTCTCGTATTTTTTTTTATCATTTATTTTTAAAATTTATATTTTTAAAATAATTTTTTATAAATTTTTCGAAAAACATTTTGAATTAACCTATAAAAGTTTTGCCATCATCTTAAAAGTAGATGTAACTAAGCATACCTACAAAAAATTAACGCTCTTTGCTCAAAATTTCCTAAGATATACGTGAATTTATATTTCGGCGCGTTTTGAAATTTGGCGTATTTATTATAAGCGATAATAACGAAAATGTGGTTTACGCACTTCGTTAAAAATGATTTGAAAGTATGAACGATGACTTTTTCCCGCTCGTGGACAATGAAGAAAAAAGAAAGGAAAATAGGTTGCTATAAATAAGGAAGTTAGTCAAGTAAATTATTCTTGGCGCAAACTGTAAAAAAATTCGAAAAAATAAATTGTTATATTTCTCACCAAAAATTACAAAATTGAATATCTAGGCATAATTTGAGTCGTACAATCGAAATATGGAAATAAAATGGTATGCTATTTCCGAATAAAGTCCGATTTTATGTAAAAATACTTATGTTAGAACAAAGCTATATATAAATCTAATATATATCCTACGTCGCGCTTTGAAGACATGGAAATGGCAATTTGAATTTCGTCAATCGGCCCAGTAGAACGGGAAATATAGAACTGTCCCCCGTTTTCTTTTGCGCAGTGTACATACATTATAGCATTACGCACAAAAATTTCTGACTACAGTATTAGAAACTAAAAAATTTTAAACGAAAGCTGGGAAAAGAACTGAAGCAAGACAGGTAAAAAGCAAACTTTCTGTTACTAGTGTATTGATTAAACAAAAACCATGATTAGCAGACTGTTATTACAAACATTTATTTCACATAATTGTAGATTCATAATTTATATGAAATTTAAATGAAAATTTAAAGAACTCGCTTCATTGAGAAACATAACAGAAGTTTTACATAATCTGAAACAGCATATAATCTAACTGGTATGATAAGCAGTTTAGACTGTATGAATAAATTAACAGTAGCTTTAGCTAATTGCCTTAAGGTAAATAATTAAATTGTAATTACGACAAAAATAGCCGTTGTATAATTGACAATAATTATATTATGATACAGATAACTTTAGTGATATAAACTGTAATAGATTTAATGTACTTGAAGCAACACAAGAATCATTAACTATGTTCTGGCATATGAAATGTTTCAAGTGCGTCGTACTCAGGGCTTAATTTATAAAACTAGAGCTTCTGGAGCCTCATCAAAGACCGTCGGGAAAGATGAGCAGAAATATATAAATAAAAACAAATCTGAAAGGTTTCAGATTTTAAATTACGTCCAAAGGGGCGTTTATTTAACGATTTGTGCGTTACCATTATTTATTAAATACCATGTTCTTCGCACTTAAACCATAAAATTCAGTTCAAGAGCAATATCGCAAAATAATTTTAAAATGAGTAAAGAATTTCCGATACACAGTCTCGCGCGCTGGAGATAAAAATGTTTTTTCTGTACAACGTTGCCTTTGCTCGCTTAGAAATCCTTGAGTTTGTTAATCAAAAATTCGTTAAAGTTTAACAAAATATGAAATTGATAATAAAACATATTCCAAATTTCAAATTTGGGCTTCCAGATGCCCATATTCGCAGGAGGATTAGGTTAGTAAATTTCGATGGCTCTAGTTACCGTTGTTATCTCACAATGCGAGAACCATACGTACATTTATGCAGATTCTTCCTTATTTAATTTCTTCAAATATATTACAGGGCGATAGTATTTGGTGGCAACGATTTGAAAAGTGATACGTCGTTTATAGGGTTCCGACGCAAAACGAAAACAATAGTCCTTCAGGGACAAAGCCCCTTTGGACTAAACATTGTAAATAATTAATAGTTAAAATTAAATAAAGCATTTAGAGATAAAATATAGTGAATTAGTGACAATTAGTTAAATAACAAATTCAAATACCTACCAGAATATAAATTTCCAGCTCGTGTGTATTCAAATGAGATAGAAAGGAGATAGTATTTAAAGGAAGGTAGCGTAGAATCTGAGCGCAAAACAAAGTAGCGAAGAAACGAGTTTTAGAGCGTAGAAGCTGAGCGTCTTCCGACTACTGATTGGCAACGTTGCTAATTTTGATTTTCATGACAGCTGTGTTTCTGCGGCATTGCGTTATTCTCATCATTAGGCTTGTCACATGACTTGGTCAGAGCGCGTTCTTTATCTGTGTTAGCCGTTGGGCTAATTCACATTTTCTTAATTAAGTCAAATTCCTTATTTCTGATTTAATCCATAAGTGTTGGCTATTTTTGTTAGCATAAGCGGTGCCTTCTGTTAACTTGCAAAATTGCAAGTTAAAAAAAAAGGGTCTCTTACACACTTCCTAGTTTCTGTGATACTTGAAAAGACATACTGATAACTCACTTAAGTTCTTAGAAGTTTCGTATATTTGTTGCTACCAAAGAACACGATACTTTATAGGAGATATTATGGCTAAAAGAATTCAATAATTTTAGCATCCTGTAAGTATAATGTAAGTTTGAAAATCTCATATTTAAGGCATGTAAGGTTCTTATGTTTATTAACTAGTTATTATCACTTTAATTTTTAATACAGCTTCTTCTTTTCGCATTCGTCACCAGAATCCAAAATAGCTTTCAGAGTATATAAGCCAAGTTTTTGAATTTTTGAGAGAGAGAAAGTTTCTTGCATTCGCTTTGCGCTTTTAAAATTCCTCAATAACTCGGACTGAAAGTGATTATTACGCGTTTTGCATTCTTTTGCTAACCAATACTTTAGACTTACCAGTAAAATTAATTCAGTCAGCTTATAGTTTGCTAAATTCATCATTCAGCACAATGATGACAAGTCTTGACCAATTGAGTGCGAATGCTGATAGTCATATAACTGGCGGTACAGCAACACAGCTGGTGGTAAGTAAGTAAGTAAATAAAAAAAGTTCAATTTAAATAGCTAAGGGTTAATTTTGTATAGAATCCCCCTAATTTATGCGTAAAAAATATAAATAATGTCACAAAATTTAATAATTTAATTTCGAGACATACTTGTTATTAGTTGAAGAACAGGTGGAGTGATTCTAATCGCTTAGTTTTATAGAAATTGATCTTACCGCATATAATATCAAGAGTGCATAACGTCACGGGCAGGATAACATCAGTCCATGGCTTTTTTGTCTCTTTTTCTAGAATTTTTACGAATATATGCGATTGCTCGTTGAAGACGGGCAAAAAATCCTTCAAGATTTCAAAATGGAAAGATGGCGTTATTAACTTGCGACGAGATTTCCACTTCGGGCCGTAACTACAATAGAAAAATAAAATGGAAGTGTCAAATGTAATCAGTAAAATACATAAGGATAATTTAAACAGATTTATGCAATTCAGCATTTAAATCTAAATATTTGAATTTTTATAATTTAGAACAGGTTTTAAAATTTTTTCATAACATTTCTATGTACATTATGCATATGATTATTATAACCTAAAAATTAGTAAGAACAATGAATGTATAACCGATGAACTTTTCCCAAGAAAGTAATATGCATCAAAATGTGGTATGAAATGCAAAGGAAAGAAAGCAAGAGTCATAAAAATTAAACATTTATTTAAATCTATGCCCAAATGCCAACTTTCCAGGAGCAAGACAAGATTTATTATGTTAAAAACAATTAACAAACTAAACAAAGGATAATGAAAAAATTCTGAAAGCTCTCGCATTTACATATAGCCGTTTCAAGAGCATTTTCGCTAACGCCACATTGGGCTAAAAATATTTAAAACAGCATATCTTCAGAATTTCCGATAGACAATCTCGCACACTGGAGATATTAATGTTTTATTCCTCATAGTGTGGCCACTGCTGGCTTTGAAATCATTGAGTTTTTTAATGAAAAATTCATTTAATATTTACAATATAAGAAATAAACAAAAAATTTCAAAATTCGTGTTTCCAGGTGCCCATTTTCGGTTGCAGGACTATATTAGTCACAATTGGATGGCTAGGGGAACCGTTGATTTTTTTCAATGCAAAAAACATACATACATTCACGCAGATTCTTCATTGTTTAATTTATTTAAATATAACGCAGGGCGATAATATTTGGTGGCAATAATTTGAAAAGTGAAACGGACATTTATAGCGAATCGCCGCAAAATGCCGTTTCAAAACTAACTTTCCTACTGCGCTAACGCCCCTCCGGGCTAAAAGGCCAAAAAAATTCAATGGAATGCAGAAAACTCCGTACAGATGCAAAATCATTATAATATTCTTATGTGGTTTCCACGAAGTGAGTTTATTCGAGAGTTTTTAAGTTTTTTTTTTTTTTTTTTTTTTTTTTTGTTTCAAGTCCAATCGATCACATTATGGCCAAAATCAGTCGGCTGAGACTAAATGACAAGAATCTCATATTTAGGTAGAATTTGAAATTAATTAACGGCTCTGAACATTTTTCAGTTTTAAGAACATCTGTTTACAGAGATAAACTTCTAGTTCGATCCTCAACTGGTATCCAGAGTTTGTACAACAGGGCATAAAGTAGAACCCTTGAACAGGTAACAGATTTTCTCATCGTCGTTGCACTTTTCCGGAATATATGATGATTGTTTTAATAAATCTGTTGTTTTAGTAAAATCTGTTAACTGATTTCAAGTATCATAATTCTCACGATTAAACTGAATTTATTCAAAACTAGTTAACGGCTCTGATTAGGTCAAACATGTTACTTAGCCCATGAGGTCAACAATCCTTATAACTCTTTGCGATCACTAGTGCTCTCTATAGATAATTTTCAGTAGCAGTAAAAGAATTCCACACTGCAGCGACATAAGATAAATGAATTTTTTCTGCTACATTTTCCTCATACTGAAAAATTTTTGATTATGTAAAGTTACACGACCTGAATCCTTCTCCATCAAATTATATAAAAATGTAAGTTTTCGGATGGTTTCACCGTGATGGCAAATGAATTCATCTATTACCACCATATAGTATAGAGAGGATAAATCCTTAATGTTTAATATACACAATTTTGTATTCAGTGGCCTATTATTTTCAAGTTCTACATTGATTTTCTTTACTAAAATGGAAAGAATATGCCTCCAAATTTGACTATTTTACATCCATTGAAAATCAGAATAGTACTCGAATTTCTCGAGCTTTCGAAATGGGGTATAACAACTACTGTAGTTGATTACACTCATTAACAGTTACATGTTATAGATGTCACTCATTGACAGTTACAGTTACTTTGTTTCTTTAAAAGTGTGTAAATTTTGAGTTGCTGCATTTCGCTCAACGTTACTTTTTGCATATGAAAATCTGGTCAAAGCAAACTGCATTATGAAGCATCACAAAAAAGAGCTGTATGTACAGAAGAATATTAGAGTACAAATTTTGACATTCTACACTCATGTCCATAAATTAAGGATAATTCGGAGTCACGTGGAAATCGAACTCTAAAATAAATATATCACAATGTAAAATCACTACACACATCTTCAAGAATCATATGCAAATTTCAGAAGTAACCAGATGACACCGATGGTACGTCACAATGACGAGAGTGTAAGAGAGTGATATATAAGGAATACAGCAAAGAAAAAGTAAAATTGTTCGCAGGCGCTTTATAAGCATTTCAATGCAATAACCGAATAGTTATGACACAAAGGACGCATTTGGATGATTTTTTACGTGGTAGAATTATCGGCCGTCTGGAATGTGGGCGTACCCAACTGGAAGTATCAGACGAACTTGGAATTGCCTAGAGTGTCATCTCCAGGCTTTGGCAAAGATTCCAAGATGATGGTAATGTGAGTAGACGTTACAGCACAGGTCGCCCCAGAGTTACAACGCAGAATGAGGACCGGTATTTGGCAGTTACTGCCAAAAGAAACAGGCGGAGCACAGCCTCAGACCTGTCTCGTCAGCTCTCTTCAGCCACTGGTACGACAATTTCAAGGCAGACCGTGTACAGACGCTTAGGGCAAATTGGTCTATATGCTCGTAGACCTGTCAGATGCGTTCCACTTACTGCAACTCACTGTCGCCTGCGGTTAGCCTGGAGTAGAGAGCATGCATTCTGGACATCGCAACAGTGGGCTTGTGGGATGTTTTCCGACGAGTCCAGGTTTAGCTTGCAGTCTGATTCTCGCTTTCATATGGAGAGCTCCAGGTACCCGTTACCACCAAGAAAACATCATTGAACGACACCGTTACGGTGGTGCAGGAGTGCTCGTTTGGGGTAGAATTATTCATTGTTCCAGAACTGACCTGCATGTTCAAATTGAAACCATGACATGCCAAATCTATCGGGACGTCATTCTGGAACAACATGTACTTTTGTTTCGGGGCGCCATGGGCGCACAATTTGTGTTTATGGATGACAACGCCCGTCCTCACCATGCAAACATAGTAAGCGAATGCCTTCAATCGGAGGATATCACCCGTATGGACTGACCAGCATTCTCACCGGACTTGAATCCAGTAGAGCACGTGTGGGACATGCTTGGCCGACGAGTTGCAGCCCGTCAACCTCCTCCTACATGTCTACCGGAACTTCGGAGAGCATTGCTTTTTGAGTGGTGTAATATCCCCCAAGATCAGATCGATAATTTGATACTCAGCATGCCTAGACGTTGTATGGACTATATTGCATCGTCTGAGAGACATACAATGTATTAACAATCATACCAACCATGTAATATTGGTTTTTTGTAAATAGGTTTTTTTTTTTTGTAATTTGCTCCAGGGAGAAAAAATCGCTAATTTTTTTAATAATATCAAACATATAGTATCTTTTTTTGGTCTTTACCTTTCGTTTAATAAATAAGCTTTACAAATAAGTCAAATTTGTTTTGCTTCTAACTCTTCGTTTGCCTGATTTTGCATTATCCTTAATTTATGGACATGAGTGTAGAAGTAAATGTTCATCGCTAAAGAGTTGATTGTAATTCCATGCATTCATGCAAAGCAATAATTAAATAGAAAAGAGAAAAATAAATTTATTTATTGTCAATTTAGAATAGAGGAAATAAATTTATTTTTCCCCCACTAATAAAAAGAGTATAAAAACTTATAAAAGGCCGGGTAATCTGGGTGAAATAGACATCTGGAAGATTATCTGAACAGATCAGGGATAAAATTGTGCTAAACCCTCCTGAATTGTTTGGAATTCCTGACTGTAAATCTATCGATTTGCAAACACTTTATTAAATTTGAATGATAAAATAAAATTCAAAATAATTTTAAATTAAAATTAAAAAATTTTGCTGACAGCTTTGGGAAAAATAATGAAAGATCAAAATTGACTGAGTGAATATCAATAGCCTGGAAGGTAATCCCAGAAAGAATAGTGCATTATTATATTAAAGCAATTGCAAAAATTTGTATATTTCATTTAAAATTTAAACGATTGTTTATTTAAAAATTACCAATTATCTGGATCATACTGGGGAATAATGAAAACTGTTCCCAAGATTTAGACTGGTGTGAAATTAACTATCTTAAAGATGCAAATTTCTTAGATGAACGCAATCTTGATGTTTTGATAGAGGTCCTGATGGAAGTATTGAAATTACACATATCTTGAATCATATACTGATGAATGGATGTTATTCTCGCAATTAAACTAAATTCAATGACAAAACTATTTGTTATATTGTCAGGACTTGCATGTCTTTTGATTTGCTTCGGGAATATCGCGTGTTCTGAATAGGAACAGGGAGCTTACTCAAGCTATGTTCAAATATGTATGGAATGGAAGACACAAGCAGGAAAGGTTAACTTTACCTTTTATTGTCCATGATATTACAGATGCTCCCGCACTTCGGGATACAACCCCACTTGTGGTCTGAAGGTAAAAATATAAAAAACTACTAACTAAAATTTTAAATAAGGGCTAACTTTGAATTAGTTTACACAAATGCCTAACACTAAGACTGGCCTTTTAAATTATTACGTATTTAGCACGCAAACTGCCGAAACTACAATACGTTTAAAATATCAAGAGGACTAGAATTTTTTCATAAAAGAAAGTTTTCTTTAGCTGATCTAACCAAATTTAAAGTATGCATATTGCAATTGATGGCCTTTTACAATAGAAGATTTATGGTAATTTTTAAGTATTTAATTATAATTACTGTGTTTAAAATTTAAGTTATCTATCATGCATTTAAGAAAATAAGTTTTATGATTTAAAATTCCCTTTAAATATTAGCAAAAAATTAGTAAACATGAAAATGCTTCGGCTTATACTAAAGATATTTGGTTTTAATGGTTTACGTAAGTTAATTACCTAGTCAGAAGTCCGGTTCCCAGCCAAGGATGAAGCAAGTCGTAGGTCCAACTTTTCTGCATCATTTTCGTACCGCATATTAACTCCTAAAATTACAGAAAAGAATTTAAATCGTGAAGATACCTTCAAAATGTAACAATTAAGTGTAAATTCCAACTTTAAGAGCTCTAACTTTCTCTAGAGCGCAAACGTTTTAATAGAATTTGATAATTCTTACAATATATACTTTTGAAAATTCACTGATATCATTAAACTGCATTACGAAAATGATAAGCAAAAAAACAGCAGTCTTGTTTGATTTTACGTTTGGACGAATTTAAAAATAATCAAATGCCTCGGATTGTACTGGACATTTTCGCACTTCTATCGGTGTCACGATTTAAGTTATATCCGTATTCGGTAAATATTCTGGGAATTTTTAAATTTAACAGACGTGATTTTCGCCATAAAGATGTTTATGCAATGAGAAGTAATTGCATAATCAAACATTTGTGCTTTCTGAATATATGTTTGAGAGAGCTCGTCAGATCTTCGGATCAAGATGTAAAAGGTTGTGCGACACTCGCAAGGTCATGGGTTATCTAAAAGAATCTCTGAAATTTTATTGTAGCTTTGCGTTATACCTTGGTAAACACATAGTGAAATAATTTGAAGAGCTTTAAATGGATTCCCTTTTAAAAATGTCGATTAATGTAAACACGTGGACGAAAACATAACTTCCGAAAAAAATTGACAAAAGATTATCACTTAATAACAAATTATTCAATAAAATATATATTTAAGATTATCTATGGAATGTCTGAAAACTTAAATAGTTTTCTAACAGTAAAACGACACTGGTTGAAACAAAAAAAGAATTTTTTCCACAATCAGAACAAGCAAGCTTCTTTCAAATGTTTATTACTATTCTTCGAAATTTGCTTATTGGGGACAATGAATTAAATAAGATGGGATTCCAGATTATGAATATGCTGGTCAGGACATTTCTTGTTAAACAAAACTTTTTCTACAGACAGATAAAAAAAAATCTGTATTAGGAAACTACCCGAAATATGATTAAAATATTTTGGAACAGTATGCAAATGTTAATAAAGACAGCAATATAAGTAAGTTTAGAAAGTTAATCTCTGAATTTCTCTTTTTTGTCTCTTTTTACATTAAAATAACATCAATATAAAAGAAAACTCGATAACTCGTTGTAGCACCCTTGAGATTAACAACTTGAGACTTCGGATTACTCGTAATAAATTGATATCCCCTTGATACTTTAATACTTATTTTATGCCAGTTTTAACAAGAATTTAACGTAGATTTTACTGCCACCTCAATAACCCCGATTAGGGGCTACCACACATACATTTCGTCATGGAAGACATCAACTTTGATGAACGACAGGGATTGAAGGAAGAAAATGAGGACCCAGCTTGTGACCTTTCATATGCAGAGTAGTTGCATGTGTTGCATTACTTTCCCAATTGTTTCATATCTTTTGTAGCAGAAAAAATTTCGTCAACTTAGTAGGTTAACAAAGAGATCTCGTAACTCATCATAACTCGTCATAACTCGTAACCGATTCTTTTTGCATTTTACTTGTTGCCGTTTTAGTGTGAATGCTGTTATAACGGTTTATGGATTTAAAAAATTAAATATCCGACCACTTACACTAGAAATTCTTCGTTAACAGCGTCCGATTTTAAAAGTGTCGAAGATGCTACACTCTTAAAGTCATCAAGAGAAAAGTTAATCTCCTATTAGGTCTTACACTGCAAGAAAGGGTTCTGATATTAGATTGAAGGACGTGAAAACAATAGGCTTCAAGCGAGTACTATTATTGTAATTTTTTAAAATTAGGCATAATTAATAAGATAAAAAGCGGTTTATAAAATAATTTTCAATATATTCGTATTTAATTTGTTTCTGGTTTATTATTACCGATTCATATGAACAGAAACTTGAGTTAACGAATTTCTGTTGGATATGTAGATGTAACAGAAAACTTGACATTTATTCAGGATATCCTGCGAAGTTGAGAGAGAAAAACTGTGTATAATAAATCTCTTTAAACTGCGCCGTTTTAGAAATTAATCCATGTCATTTAATCTTAAATAACAATGCTTAGATGAACGCTTTAGCCAATCAGAATGATTCCAAATCGAAACTAACACTGCAAAGACTCTCTCAGGCTTTGTTTCTGTATGCTTTGCATTTTGCATCTTTACTTGCTTCCTGTTAAGGTGCCGTCGTTTACTTTCTCTCTTTCATCCACTGTATTTGTCTTAACGTGCAGAAAGCTTAACAAAATGGGAGGAAAAATAGGTGCAGATTGCGCTCTTAATGATGAGTAAATTAGAATACGCGTTTCAAATGTTCTTTTGTACAGAAATAAAATATGTTAAATCGTCACGACGGCTACATCTGATTGCAACTGATTGCACATTATACATGCCAGCACCATCTACAATTTCCAGCATGACTGAAATTACCTATGTCTTCTCTTCACCTAAATTATTACGCACATATAAAATTAATCTATGCACAAAGAACTTAGCAAAAAAGAAGAAGATGATTTGTTTGGAAGGGGAGGGAGTACAGTTTGAATAAATGTACTCAAGGATAGTTGAAAACATTTCAAAACATTCTCCTCTTGCAAATGACAGTTACTGAAGGAAAAGTAAAGAATATACTACGAGGAAAAGAATATAAATTAATAAATTTATGAGAATAAAAAAAAAAAAAGGTTTAAATCATTAAGGAAGGAAATCTTCCCTCTCCTCTCCACGTCACGGATTTCATATTTTACATGACCTGTTTACTAAAGTATCAAGCAGGTAATAATAATTGAGGCCTATCTCGGTTATGTAGCGCGCTGTTTTCCAATTAAACGCATTGCTTTAAATACCAGATATACAGGGTGTTCTTTTTTAAACTGACCCCACTCAGAGACCTCTGTAGCTGGAACTATGAGCCGCAAAGCCACCAAATTTTGTACAGGGACTATTGACGACATGGGAAAAAAGAATCCGCGGAAAAAAAAATAGTTCCAAAAGTTGCCGATAGGGGAAAATGGGGAGCTTTACACTTTAAGACAGCTAAAATTTTGCATAAAACACGGGAAGAAAATTGCAAAATGCAAAATCTCGATTACGTAGTCGACACCAGCGCCAGTATTTTGAGTTATAAAAAAGAAGCAGAACATTGAAAATCGTTTCAAGAATCAGTTGTTTAAAATCGAAGGTAGAGTTCCTAATTTATCAGCTTTAAAGGAAAACATAACACGGGCAGTTATGAACATACCTCCTAAAATGTTCCCTTCAGCTGTATAGAGTACGGTGAACAGAATGCAATGCTTAGTCCAAGAAAATGGAGGCCATAATGAAAATAGCCGATGTCTTCCCCGTGAAAGCGATTCTACTGAATAAAAACAAAAGAACAAAGAATAAAAAGGAAATTGAATTTCTCTCTTCCGTTCTCTTTTCTTTTTAAATTTGTAACCATTTACAGAAGTTATTTTTTAGAATAAAGCACATTTGTGGAAAAATTAATTCTTTGTTATTCATTTATCTGTTTATTGTAACTTTTTAAAGTGGTCAGAAATTTTATCGTGTAGTTAAAATTTAGATCAAAAGCGGCATATGCCCCCTTTCGGCAATTTTTGGAACTAAATGTTTTTTTGCCGATTCCTTTTTGCCATGTAGTCAATAGTCACCGTACAACATTTCGTGGCTTTGCGGCTAATAGTTCAAGCTACAGAGGTCTCTGAGTACCGTAAGTTTAAAAAAAAAAACATCCTGTACTATATCTCCGCGCTCCCACAATTCAACATATTCATTCACGTCCGTATTAGACATAAATGTTGATTTTAGAAGGCTAGTTGAGATTGAAACTATTTTCTGTGTATGGAGTATGATCTAGCTTTTGGCTGCTGTATGTTTTTGGTTTCGCTGGTTTGATTAATTATGGCAAAGCACACTAAAGTGCCTAAAGCGCCTAAAGCGACGGATCTGCCTAAAGCGACGGATTCCTTCGTGGAGGACTTTCTATGGGAAACTGGCTCGTATGCATTTTACACACGGGAAAAACATGAAAACGACATACAGCTAGCACGTTTGCTTGGAATTGAACCCAGGTCGGAACTACCTGTATTTAGTGGTTTTTATTACTCGGCCGCTAGTGGCCTGTATGTTTCTAAGCCGATAATCTCTATCTATCTATCATAATATAAAACCATTTTTTTGTAACCCCCCGAGCATCAAGTGCATAATAAAATTGCTGGTAAAAAATAGTAGCTTTCACTCGAGAGTAGCGCAGAGATAAATAAAGCGTATGATATTAAGCATGATTTTTCATGTACATTTTATTTTATTAAGATTTAGGTTTATTGTCAAGCATAAGAAGATAATAATGAAAAAATATGCACTGATAAATAATTACTTACTTCTACTGCTTCAGCCTTTACGAATACAACAAAGGGAGAATATGATATCCAGAAGCAGAAGAGTTTTTTGTCTCTGAATAATTCACTATAGGCACTCAAGACTTGAAGAAGAACTAGAAATGTGTAGAAAATTAGAATGCCAATTATTTCATTTATATAAGTAAAAATTTAGTATATGAGCAGTAAAAATCATAAAAGTTTAAAAAAACATTTTTCAAATGCTATTAATTGCTGGAAATTGGAATGTTTAATGTGATTTATAGTTATGTTGTTGTCTTCTATCATAGAAGCATAGAAGAATTTTAATATATTTTCGAGCGTAGAAGAATTTTAATAAAGTTTCACACACAATATATACACAAGTTTCTTGTGTGAATTTACTAATCCGTACTTTGTTTTTAATTTAATTTTTTAATTAATTTATTTTAATTTTCCGATTTTCAAAACAAAATATTAAAGCTGCAGTTCTTGCCGTTTATTACATTCTGACTAATTGCAGAATATGAGCTAGGGCTGTAAGAAATTTTACGTGGAAATATATTTTAATCGCCAAAGAGGGCGTAAATCTTTCATGATGTATATATACTTCTTGTTCTTGGATCTGGCACCGCCAGTTGAATGTGTGTTAGACATGAATAAACTTGGCAGTTTTAGAAATCTGATTCGTAATGTTCATTTATGTTATGTGTAATTTGATTTAGTGTTTTTTGAACCAGGATATCTTGAAATTCTTGACAGTTAATATAATATTTTATATTTTTGGCGCTTAACAGTTGCGCACGAAAAATGTTTTTGATTTAGAATGCGGTGTTTTTCGTGTTAGTGAAAATTTATTCCACGGCACTGAACGTGGCAAGATAAACGTTCAGAATACTTGTGAATGTGCTTCACCAGGAAAGTGAGTTACTAAATTAGGAATTAACCATTTGAAGCCTGCACCAGGTAAGAGAATAAAATTACTTTTGATGTTATTATGGCAGACGATATTATTAAATTGAAAGCTACTAGAAAAGTTATGAGACAAGCTATTTCTAAAATAATAAATGTACTAGAACCTGAAATTAAAAAAGACATTTGGGATAAGAATATGGTAGAAGAAAATGTGTTTTTACTTACTTCTAAACAGTCTGTGTTGAAAGAAATTAATGAAAAAATATTGGATTGTATTAAAGGGGATGAGTTTGAAATTGAGAAAAAATGTAATACTGTGTTAGAGTACGATGAAAAAGTGTATGTATTTTTAGGGCTGAAAAGAAACTTAATTTAAATTCTCAGATAGTGAGCATTGAAAGTGAATCGCCTGGTAACCATACTGCTGCCGTAAAGGTCGAAAACAAAACTAACATTCGGTTACCTAAAATTTCAATTCCTAAATATTATGGTGATCCTAGTTTATTTTTGGAATTTTATAATTCCTTTGAAAATGCTATTGGTAATAATAATGAGTTAACAAAAGGTCGAGAAGTTTACCTATCTTAAATCCTTACTCGCAGGACCTGCTTTAAGTGCAGTATCCGGGTTTGCACTATCTAATGGAAAATTATGACGCTTCTATAAGTTTTCTTTAATTTAATTAAAGAAAGATTTGGACGAACAGATTTGGTAATATCTTCGCACATGAATAAACTCTTGAATCTTGAACCGGTTAGAAGTTCGTCCAATGTGAAAGCACTAAGAACACTATACGATTCCTGTGAAATCAATATAAGAAGCTTAAATTCATTAGGTATTGTGTCGGAAGCTTACGGAACCCTTTTAGGACCTGTTATTTTAAAGCTTTTGCCAGACGATATGAATCTGGAGTTTAATAGAAAAAGAAACTCTAAACTGCAATATAGCCTAACAGAACTTCTCGAATTCATTAGATTGGAAGTTGAGAGTCGGGAAGCTTCCAATTTAATAATAAAGAGACACAAATAAGATAAGAGACACAAATTACGGTGTTAAGCAGAATGAAAATAATTACTTAAAAGGGGCAAGTGTTCCTACTGCTTCGGGGTTAGCTACAGTGACTAAGCCGTATTGTTTCTATTGTAATCAAAATACACATGATGTAGGAAAATGTGAGAAAACAAATGAGCAAAAAAGAGCGATATTAAAATACCATGGACGTTGTTACAGATGTTTTAAGAGAGGTCATGTATCTTCCAGATGTAAAATGAAACTTCAACTTGTGAGTTGTGTAATGGTTTAAATCATAATAAGCTATTTTGTAAAAATATTCTTCCTGAAGTGGAAGCAGTTTCAGATGTTAAACAGAAAGTAGTTACAGTATCAGATTCTAAGCAGAATGTAGTTGCATCCCTGTCGTTTAACTCTAAGACTGTTTCTGAAACTGCTGATAAAGGTGTATATTTACAAACTTGCACTGTTTACGCTTCAGATACAGATAATACTAGAAGCCAAATAGTAAAAATCTTAATTGATGGTGGATCACAGAGGTCATTTATTAGATCTGATTTGGCTAAAGAACTAAAATTAATTAATTTAAGGAAAGAAAGGTTATATATTTATTCATTTGGGTATATCCAGAGTAGACTAATGGAATATAATGTTGTTCAAATTACCCTGAAAAGTATGCATTTCCCTAATGACTCAATCACTATTGAAGCTCTTGTTACAGATACAATTTCTGGAACGATCATAAAAATTCCCTCCAAACACATTTTAGAAATATTAAAATCAGAAAATCTAAACTTAGCCGATAATGGTGAAGCTGCTGAAATAAAAATATTGTTAGGATCTGATTCATGTTGGGAAGTGCAAACAGAGGCGAAAAGAAAAAGATAACTAATAAATTATTTGCGGTGTCTTCTATATTTGGTTGGTCCTTAGTTGGATCTTTAGCAGTGATCAGTCTACTGCCTGTATTTTTACAACTGGTGCTTCTCATTGCTTGAAGGAAGATAATAATTCAGTTAATGACTGTTTGCGAAGGTTTTGGACCACTTGGGTTTAGAGGAGAACGAGAATCCTGACGATAAATCAGTCATCGAGAAATTTGAAAAAGAATTGCAGTTTTACATGTTCTTGATATTTATCAGACATTTCTTTATTACAAAATTTGAATTTGTATTGAAATGCATAATGATTCTTGAAAATAATTCTTGAAAATATTCATGTAACACTGATAATCTTGATTGTTCTGAACTACAGTTCAGCCGGGGCCAGTTGTAAGAAATTTTATGTGGAAATATGTTTTAATCACCAAAGAGGGCATAAATCTTTCATGATGTATATACACTTCTTGTTCTTGGATCTGGCACCGCCAGTTGATGTGTGTTAGACGTGAATAAACTTGGCAGTTTAAGAAATCTGATTCGTAATGTTCATTTACTTTGATGTTATGTGTGAATATTTTCTTGAACCAGGAATCTTGAAATTCTGACAGTTAATAATATTTTAATGGATTTTTTTGGATATTTTTTTGACAGGAGGGAAATTAGCAAGTTTCTGCCCTAGCAGAAAATGAGCAGGTGACAGAACTTGGGGCTCATTATCTTGGACGTAAGTCAAGGGTCGACGATTTATCACCGCCTCAATTTCAGTCAGTACAGTTTCCAATTCTTCAGGTAGCAGTGATGTTCTACCAAGAATTTTTCTTAATATTGTTTTGACGGATCGCACAAGTCTCTCGTAAAATCCGCCCCACCAGGCTCCTCTTTCAATGATATACCTCCATTGAATGCCCTTTGCTGCATAATAATTCTTTACATCGGGGTGGCTTAATACCTGCCACATCTTTTTGAGCTCTGCATCAGCTGCCTTGAATGTACGCGCGTTATCTGAGTATATTAGAGAGCACAACCCTCTTCTTGATATGAATCGACGAAAAGCAAGTAGGAAAGATTTAGTTGTGAGATCTTTTGTTAGTTCAAGATGAATGCCTCTAGTTACTGCGCAGGTAAATAATAGGATATAATACTTCATATCTTCATTTTTCATGAAAAGTGGACTTGCATAATCCAGTCCTATAACATCAAAAGGGTTTGCTTTTTCAATTCTAGATGGTGGTAATGGTGCTATGACTTGTCGCGTTGGTCGGGAGTTATAACGCTGACACAGTACACAGTTTCTTATAACACGTTTCACATTTTGTCTGGATCTAATTATCCAGTACTTTTCACTGAGGAACATGAGAGTACTAGCTACACCTGTACGAAGAACTCGTTCATGTGCATCACGTACCAGAAGATCTGTAAAATGAGTTTTTGAAGGAATAATTATAGGATGCTTTTCATGAAAACTTAAAGTTGATTTTTGTAATCTTCTTCCTACTAACAAAACTCTTTCCTCACTTAGAAAAGGATTTAGTTCATAAATGTTTGAGTGTTTTGAAATCAACTGTCCAGACTTTAAACTATTAATTTCATCAGAAAAATGTTCATATTGAACTTCTTTTATCAAATATAATTCTGCGGCAAAACGTTCTTCTGCTATCAAGGGTCCGGTTTTCTTGTCAGTTTTATTTTTCAGATTGTGAATAAACCTAAATATCCATGCAGTTCACTCTAATAGCTCTAATTAATTTACTATAATTTTCAAGATTCAACAGAGAATAGATTTTTCTGCAATAGACGGTAGTATTGTCGTATCATTTATACACCTTTTCCGCTCTAATTCAGCATCAGAAAACTCCGTTGTCACGAAAATTTACTAGGCCAAGCACTCACTGATTCAACTAACCAGTCTGGCCCAGACTGCCATAATCTTGAAGACAACAAATATTCGGCTGAACATCCTCGAGATAAAATGTCCGCTGGATTGGACTTCCCATTACAATGTCTCCAGTTATTTATTTGGGCAAGTTAATGATTGTATTTCAGATACTCGATTTTTTACAAACATTTTCCATCGTTCAGGAGCACTATGAATCCAGTGAACCACTATCATACTGTCAGTCCACAGATAAATATTTTCTTCATGAATTGAAAACAGCTCTTTTAAATGTTTAGCAAGTCTTGCTGATGTTAATGCTCCTAGCAACTCTAACCTTGGAAGTGTGAGTTTTTGTTTTATTGGCGCAATTCTAGATTTTGCCATAATGAATGCTACCTGTCCTTCTTCAACTGATCTAAAATATGCAACTGAACCATACGCTTTAATAGATGCATCACAAAATAAATGAAGTTCGATATCCTTATTTTGATTCAATT